CACATTAACACATGCACACACACACACACACACACACACAGACACACAGAGAGAGAGAGATCTTTTCATATTTCTCTTTTTCATCACTCCTCCCCTAATTCATCCGTCTTCACCAAGATGGAGCTGCAATTTCTGTGTGTGTGTGAGAGTGTGTGTGTGTGTGTGTGTGTGTGAAATAATGGATGTATGTGTGTGTGTGTGTGTGTGTGTGTGTGTGACTGCTCAAATAAATTCATTATGTCCCACCTGAACTGGCTTTAGAGAGAAACCCTTCTAGAAACCCTCAGATCCAGTGACCATGACTAAATTAATTAATTAATTAATTTTATTTATTTATTTATTTATTTTTGATGGATTGTGATATTTTACCTCAAAATTCTCATTTTAATTCAATATATAATAAATATATAAGGTACTACTAAATATTGTAGAAACTTAATTTTCTGTAAAGTTGCTTTGCAACGATTTGTATTGTAAAAAGCGCTATACAAATAAACTTGAATTGAATTAAATATATCTATATTTATCTATGTATATGTATCTATAAATCAGCATAATTAAGTGACAGATCTGCTGCTTTACCCATTTCATCAGAGCTTATTTTAAAGCAGTTTGTTTCTCTTTAAATCACGAAGGCCTGTTCGAATGGAGGCTCCTTTTATCAGCTGTTGACTTTACGATAAATGAACATCTCAACTAGGGCTGCCCTCTAATAGTCAACTAATCGTTAGTCGACCAGAAGAGGCTTGGTCGACCAAAATTTTATTAGATGCTTAGTCGCATAAAAAAAAAATAATACAAATAAATCCACAGGCGAAGTCACGCAGTTCGTGACGGACAGATCGTTAACGGCTAGTAATACAGTACACCAGGAAGGACATCCAAACGCTCGCCTATCATTCATCGACCTCAAATATGGCTTATTATCTAATGTAAGTACTAGCAACTTTACATGGCTTCTCAATCTAATGTTAACCTAGAGAAATGTGCGCTATTGTGTCTGTGTGGAGTGTGGAAGCTGAACAGTAGCTCACTGCAGGACAGATGGAGGCGCTTGTGCAGTCACTTACTCCTAAAACACTCCCTCATTTTTGGTCATACAGATAAGAGTAATACATCTTTCAAATCTGTAAAGACTCTACGTTTATTTGTGT